GATTGTCCACTAACAGCGCCTTCAGAGAGCTACATTTGGCGCCGTACGTGGAAAGCATCCCAAGGCATGTTATTTGAGCAAATAAGTACACCTAATACAGCGCACGGACACCCATAAAACTTCAGGATGAAACAGAGCGTTCTGACAGCGGGCTGATACAGCGCAGATTAGCCTTCAATCGTCAAAATGTGTAGGAAATAGGTATTTTCCATTTCCAGACACGTATAGACGACGCTCCCATATATATAGACGCTCCCATATGAGCGCCTGGTCAGCGATTCACTCCATGCGTGTTAAGGCGGCTTTATGTAGGCCTAAGCGCCACCCTGTTGACGTTTAGCGCAGTTTTAGCGCATTCAGAGAGCCTAAGATTGGCGTTGTGTGAAAACTGCGAGTGCCGCTGCCATACATATTTTTGGGCATTCAGGACTCGGATGTTCGTTCAGATAAGCTATCTTAAGACATTCCAGACTCAGCTGTTCTTTCCGATATTCTATTTTTGGACATTCTGATTGTTGTAAAAGTTCGTTGATTCGAGGTTGTTCTAATAACAACTGCCTTTTCCCAAAAAGCATGGGTGCAGCACCGTTTTAAATGTCATCTGCATTATATTCGCTGCTGTGCTATTACCCTAAAACCAGGAGTGTGGTTACCTATTTAGCTAGGGAGAGGTTTTAGCCCCCACCCCTCCCCAATCTGGACTTCAGCAGCCTCCCCCAAACTTTGGGAAGCAAGTGGGATCAAATCCAGGGTTCTCCCAAAAATCCTATCTCGAAAAAGGACTCTATTTTAATTCGAACAGGCCCTGTTTGCGGAATTGTTGGCGTTAGAAAAGAGGGCCCCAGAGTCTTGACGTTTGATGAGGTTCGTCTCGGGTTCAAGGGTTATCCACGCCTCTTCAGTGGCGTAGCCAGGATTTGGCTCAGGATGGGCCAGATCGGGTCATAGGGGGTCATTCCAGTCAGGGGGCCCCCTCTTCGCCGCTCTGTTTTGTTTTGTTTTGTTCTTTTTTTTGCAAGCGTCTGCCTTCGAGTGTCTGGACATCCAAACAGCCGTCTCAGGAGGTCCAGACGTCTGAAGACGATCTCCAGTGGAGCAAATGAATAATAGACATAGGGCCCTGGCTTTTTAATTAAGATCTTTTTTGGGCTCAAGATCCTGTTTCGATGGCTGGGGACCGTTTTTATATCTTAGAAACCCTGCGGGTGTCTTAAATTGCCAACAAGCAGTAAAGGGGACCCGCGACTTCCAGGGGAGGTACGGTTCCCCTCCTACTGACTACCCCATCGCGCCTCTTCAAATTTAGAACACAAAAGTCCCTTGGAGGCCCTTCCGGGATCCACACGAGCATGGATAGTGGCGGAATAGGAGCGGTCGCAGGAACCCTTCAGAGATAGGGGTGATCCCAGGGGGCCCAGTCTTATGAGACGGGACCGTCGAAGCATCGGGCCCTCAATGAAAAAAACTCTCAGGCTGCAGATTTGCTCCGATCACGGATACTCGATTTGATCTTATAGCTGGTTTTCCTCTCTATGAAACATGTGAGGAATGATGCCAAAGGTTCGTTAGACCATCTGCAAGGAGATAATAATTGTATTGAAACAAATCCAATTATGTGAAGAATGGTCTGTTCGTTCTCAAAACGCGTCGAACTCCAGGCCACATACAGCGTCACAACAAGATGCCAAGGCTTTCAGGAACCTTTAAATGAGCTTTACAGTGACATTGTACCGTATAAGAAATTTTCTATTTCGGTAGATGTCCACCTACGGCGCCAAAACAACAAACTCATCAGGTTTCTGGCGATGGCAGTTTTTCCTTCCAAGCGCCATGCAGACCATAATTGTGCTTAAATTTCAAATAAATGGAGATGACAGTAATTTGGTATATGTGTCTCACCAAATCCGTGCATATTGATTGCAAGAATATCCTGCCTTCATTAAAAAAGTTCAAATTGCCCTTGTCAATTCGTACTGACTGGGGGGGGGGGGGGGCAAAGTCCAGTTCTTTTAATTTTGTTGTCACTCCGTTGATCTTTTCTTGATCCCTTGATTTCTTGATCCGTTGATCTCCGTTGATCTTCTCTGTTCATCTCTTTTGCCTCCCGATGGTGAAATCCGCATTACAGATTTGTTTCAAGTTCAGCCTCACCTTGCGCTGTTGTATTTTTAATGATGCTCAAAGGGGCCGCACTTGTTGGTCGCCACAAAGCCGTGGCACTCTCTCCCGTGATATATGTGACACTGTTATCATGGCGGCATTCCATATCTTGCCGCTGTCTGAGCTGGATGCGTCTGCGACTGTCCCGGTTTTGTATTAAGCCCCATCGGCGGTGTGATTTCGTAATTATTTTGCGTTACGATTTTGAAAGACACAACCATGCTGTTGTCTGATTATTGCGGGTGTTATGCGCTCTAAAGGTGGTATCTCCTTTCGGACGTTTCGTGCTGAAACTGTGCAGGGATGTAAATTGGCGCCAACGCTCCAAATTACTGCTGAATGAATTATGTCATGCCGCTAAAGGAAACTACCGTATACGCGATAAATTGCAAGGCGATTTCACAAGCGGTATCAGACGTGGAGAAATGTCTTGTGTCTATTGACATTGTAGTTTTCCAATATTCCAATCGTTTTCAAAATGTGTTCGGCTCTCATGGGTCTCACGGCACCACAACACAAAGCAGCTGTCAGATCGGCGTTTACTTGGCGTGAACCTAGACGCGAGTGGAATGCGTAGCACGTAGACCTGTGAGCAGTCTGCAAGTGGCTGCTCACGGGTCAATAACTGGCCCCATCGTGTCAGGTCAAAGGTCAATTTTTCCTGAAAACCACACTATTTCAGCTTTAAATGCGAAAATTAAGAAGCTATGCCACGCAGCAGCAGTGAATTTACACAGACGTTTCTTTATTAAATTCTGAGTGCATCGCCATGCCGTTTTGTACGTTTTCAGCATGTATTTATCACGTAGGGCTCCGTTAGTGCAACAGTGTCGGCCCGCTGCGGGCAATCGGCAGATTCGGCAGTTGCCGCCCGCCGTCCGCGCGCCGACAGTGGATCGCCTTGCAGTGGTCCGAAATAGCCGGCCGCACTCGGAAACTAGAAGGGCTAGAGACACGTTTTGGTGTCAAAACACGTGCTGTGAGAACCCCATAGACAACGAAAGTTTGGAAGCAATTACACGACATGCTGGAGAGGCACTCTGAAAAAACTTTAGAGGGTGGCACTGCCCCCCCCCCCTCGTCCCTATCAGAGCGAGGACTAAGATCTCGGGATGGTGCGTCCTCGTGTCGTTCTGGTTGTCCCATGCGAGGTTCGCTGTCTATCTAGTTTCCAGTTGACATCCGTATCGGGGACGAAAAAGATCGATGGATTTCACATCCCACATAGTTGGAAGTTGGAGCAACACCAACCCGTGATCTACAACCATTATGATGGGCGTTCAAATATTGTGTAAACAGTATCAAGTGCGGATCCTAACGAGCCGTACTCAATGGCTTCAAAAAGTTTTATGAGCGCAAACAACGCGTAGTGTGCACGTTCTGAGACCAAAAACGCATGTCGCCATGGATCAGACCAAGCCAATACCGCTAAGCCAAGGCAGACCTGTTATCAGTTGCATCAGTCAAGCACTTTTATGGACAATTTGTCCAATTAAGACTCTCATGGATGTTGTCAGCGTGACAATAATGGAAGGTCTGTCACAGTGGATGGCAGCCAGACCTTGTGAACAGCCACGACTGGTCACCAATGGATAGCGCACGATGTAAATTGCATCGCAGGTTAAACAAGTTTGTAGTCCATATCTGGTCAACATAAGATGCCACCGAAAAATTATAGGTGTTATTTTCAGTACGTCTTTCATTGTCATGAATTTTGTGGCCAGCATTGTCATTGTGGATCATTTGGATCTATATGGATCATGCGCTTTTGTGGATCATATGCTTCTATATTCTTTGTGCCCATCCACCCTCCCTCCCCATGACGCATGCGGTTGTAGGCCATTCGAAACTTCGAAACTATATTGTGCGATCCAGACGCATCAGCTGCGTGATTATGTCCCAAGATCACCGGGCGGCCATCGCAGGACGCCCGCGCTTCCGCGGCACCGAGAGGTGATTGTTAGGCTGCACCGCGTGGCACCAATGTAGTGCGGCGTAGTTTCAAAGTAAACCGCCGAGGCGGCTATGTCTGTACGCTTACTTTGTCCCGCATGGCCTGTGTCATTTGGCTGTCAATGACAGTCAAATCACACAGGCATAGGATAAGGAAAATTATCTCACTTATGACGTGTCGCGGTGTGATGCGCCGTGTGTGGTGCAGTGTGGTGTGTCTGTCAGTGGTGTAGTTCTGCAAAATGATTAAGGGGGCTGAGCAGTAAAAAAATGACAAAACCGACACCCAAACCACGTCAAAAAACGAGTTTCTTCCCGGCCTTGGTCCACTTTTTTCTCAATGGCTTGTTGGGGAGACTGGGTCATTGATCGGGGGAGGGGCTGAAGCGCTTGCCCCAATTGGCAAGCAAGCTACACACCTGGAATAAGTTGCTGGAATTGTTCGTATGCTTTACGACTCCTTCCATTTGAGGAGAATGGGCTTATTGTCGGACTTGTCAATTAGATTGGTTCTTCGCGTTTAGAGTGATGTTTTGCACAGAGGCTCCATGCACCCTGCATCTTATACATAAGGCCTGCGCGATCCACCCAATTACGTAACCATGACCACTTCGGCAATGTATGATCAAGTTACCTAACCCAAAGAGGCTTTCATCAAACATTCCCAATACAAGCCTGATCTTATTTGGCATATGTATGCTGGTGTCCAGGTGGGCATTGAGCAGAGTGCTGAGTCCGGCTGTCCCTCCCCTCACCCGGTCGCACTCCTCGCACAGTTGGGCCGGGGCGGCGAGCTGGCCGCGAGCGGGGGCGGCGCGGGCGCGCGGCTGGGGCGGGGCCGGGCGGGGCGCTATTTAACCGGCGCCGCCCGGCCGTCGCTGGCAGCAGTGCGGCCGGGCGGCGGAGGTGCGAGCGGCTGCCCCCGGCGTTGCGGCCTCAGGCGGGCCCCAGCGACCTCGCTCCGGGCGTCATCAGGTGAGCCGGCCGGGGTGCAGCGGAGCGGGCTCCAGGCGGGGCGGGGCGCACGCCGGCGGGGGAGCTGGGTAGTGGGCAACACTGAAGGAGTGAAAGACAGCGTGGCCAGGCGGACGAACATCTGGATTTACCTGGTGGCGCGCGAGTCACTCTGACACGCGTACGTGAAGTCGCATACTATACCTACTCGATGAAGCCACTTGGTTTCTGTAGCAGACCGGACGTTGGCGGCAGCGTAGTGCGTGTTAGTGGCGCCGTAGGGACGCGACCATCCGTCGCCTGCGTGCGGGGACGGCCGGTCACGGGAGCCGCTGCTGTCGCTGCATGTGAAGCTGTAGCCGTACTCCGGACACCAGTTCAGTAGAGCACCTCGCCGTGTGGTCCCCGGCGCTCAGGGAGCCTCGGTCGCACGCGGCCGGCTGCGGGTGGGGTGTGGCCGACCGATCTCCGGAGGTGCCGCCCACCCGTACTGTCCGGCGACCATCGCGCGGTACACCGCAACTCCAGCTCGCGTTGGGGGAGAAAACCATCCTGCGAGAGCACAAAACCATGCGCGGTGTGTAGCGATGTGTGCGGAGAGTTAGTCAACGGAAATGCATTTTCGACGGCACATATTTGAACTGATTCCTTTGCATGTATCACCACATCGTTAATGCCAAGCGTCCACAAAACTGTGCAGCATATAGTCCAGTGCTGACCAGGTGTTAGCGACTATGGAATTTTACTCCTGAAGCGTCCAGTGCGAAAGGCGTCGCCAGGCGCCAAGAGTGGTCATCAAGATTCGGGAAATTATGAGTGTTTGATATTATATGCCGCGATCGCTCAATTATTGATATGCTTCCGGTCCATTCACACGGTCATTCACACGCTTTACAATCAACAACGCCACACGCACGTTTAAGCGCTGAGACTTTAGGCACATTATCTTCCTCCTCATAGAGAGTTCAATGCATTTCCAACGCAGGGTGCTGCAAGTCTGAAATATTTCTATGCAAAAGGGCTTATAAATTGATTTACATTTCTAAGGCAGCATTGATAAATTTCATGAAGGCTAAACTTTGGCTGCTGGGGTGACTGGAGCTGTGGAAATGCTTCATTATTGAGCATGTACAAGAGATATAAGCGTTTATCTGCCCTGAAAGTCTTTGAATAAACTGATGGGTGGAGCGATGATGTTTATGGATTTCTGAGACATTCACTAAGCATGGCCTTGTTTTTATTTATTCTTTTGGTCCGAGCAAGTCATCATAAGCGCATGGGTACCAATCACATCCCCCCCCCCGCTTAATTCTCCCTTGAGAACCATTTAAGTGATCAGACCATCTGATTAGAGTAAATGGTAATAGACATGGCGAAGTTTTGCATTTGTATTGCTCTCCCCCCAAAATTGTCTCAGCCCGCTTAAAACTTGACATTATCAATAGTGTTGTAAATCAAGCACTCGGAATCAAAACGTACTTTGTCAAAGGCGAAACCTGATTTTCGACACTTTCCTCGTGGTATTTGTGAGACACAAGACACTTTTGGCGCAAGCCGACACCCATGGCTGAAATCGGTTCAGCGCCACTACGGATTCCGCTGCTGGTAACAGCTTCAATTCTTGCTCAAAATACGCATTCCCGCAGCTCAACCCTGTGTTGCCAGTGAACTAATGCGTGCTTAGCGCATCGCTTTGTAGATGCATTAAACGTCTACGCTGTATGCTGATATTCCAGCGCGTACAGGGACACCAGCGGGGCAGGGTGGTACAGGAGCTCCACTTGCGATTTGCCGAGGAAAGCAAACACATCTTTTGCTTGTTGATATTTCCTGAGACCCATCATGCCATAGCAGGCTCCAGATCGCTGGGACAGGCCACGCTATGAAATAAAAAAAGAGAGCATTCGAAGCAGGCGGGAGGCAATGTCTGTCTCGCAAGATCCCCTAGACGACAAACATCGGGCTCTTTTGGTCGATAAGAGGATCCAGGGGCTGCAAAGCAAGCTTCATCAAAGTAATGGAAAATCCCATGAAAAAAGACAGGAAGATTTGCCAGTCGGCAAAGAGATCCTGATTAGAAAACCGGAGGCTCACCAGGCCAAGGCGGGGTTTATTAATTTAGATACGCTGTCTGCTCACGGAGATCTTCCGAAATGGCGCAAAGTTTGTCGGGCAAATCCAAGGTGTGATTAGGAGAGGAGGTCCGAGGTAGGGGCTCGGGTTTACTGGGAGGGACTTGCTCATGGAGCTCACCGTACAGAGTCTTAAGCGCTCAGACCAACGCTGTTTGGCTGGGGTGGTCGTGTATCCTCGGCCATCGTGGCGCTTCTAAAGCGGGTGATATACTCCTCAGCGCACCAAATGCAACCGGGCCGCCAAAGTTTGTGACAGCCAGTTTAATCAAGTCAATCAAGTAAGGCAGACTCTAAAATGACGTACTTGTCAGGCAATGTGCCAAATATCCACCCATTCGATTGAACGTCATCAGCATTCGCGGACAAAACTAGCACATAAATTGCCCAGCAGCCCGTGCAGCGCTATTTCGAAAATCAGCTCTGCTCACTTCCTCATGCTTGTTGTTTCATCAATGCTACCTACTGACAAACGATGGATAGGATGCAAGGTGCTGTAGTGATGTGCTGTTTCCATATGGCCATCACCTGGCATACAGTTGTGTACTACATAAGCAGTGATGCAGCACCGGCTGCTACACTTGTGACCCACAGACAGCTCTCAGATGAACCGTAGATGGTTCAGGTTACGGCAGCCGCGCTGTCTCGCATTGTAATCGGCAATGAAACGACGGCGTATTCAAGCAGGTGCAAATCATAACACGGGAATAATGCGGTTCCGAGAAGACTCGAGGGATGATGCAGTCTAATTTCAATATGAAAAGCTAACGCCTTAAACGGCTTGGCCTATGGCAGTGCGACTCTACGACTGGCAGGCCACTGCGGGCCGTGTCACAGGCATTAAGCAATGCTGGCAGGATCGTAACCAGAAGACAATGATGTCTCCGGCGGTCTTGTTTTAGGGTTGTGAAGTATTTCCTATCATGAATATATTACGCGAGTGCAAGTGTTTGGAGGCCAGCTTCATACACGATAGGTCTATGCATGACTGCAACAATAGGGGCAAACTCAGCCCGCATGACATGTCTGGCAGCGCCCGACGCATTCCCAGTCCTTGTGGTAGAAATCGCACTTACAAACGATTTGCTGGAATCACCAGCGACCAGGACATGTGCAAATCTACAGTTCAATCACTGAAGTCGGTCAATAACTCTTGCACGGCACGTTTAGTGCATGACCAGCGCACTGCCACGCACCTGTGATGGAGTAAAACGATATGACTTAAAACGCATATGATCGCTTCCTACCGCTGCATCCATCGCACCGTTTTCGTGCTTGTTTTCAACATTTTTTTCTAAGGTACCTAGGAAGTTCTTCATTAAACGTGAAAGCAGTGCATGCGTCGCAGGCGTTGGAATGCTGCAGCATGGCATTCCAGAGAACTACTAGGCGTTTCGTGAAGCGCTGGCGTTGCGTGCAACCTATGTGGAATTAGCATTATTACGCTTTCTGACCAAACTTCTTAGACATTACCTGAATGCAAAAAGTTCGCGGACATTTTTGAAACAGCAATTTTTGTCTTTTTTTTGTTTGACGGCTATTCCTGTATTTTAGTGATTTCATGAAACCCACAAGGGGATTGGGTGTTTTGCGCAAAACCTGAGTAAAGCGAGCTCAGAATGATTTGTATTGCCGTTTATGTTCAAGTGAAGGATCAGTATTATTCATTGCGCTTCTGCATCATTGGATAAAAATAATCGCACTAACCACCCATGCGTCAACCATTCGTTTCCCAGCCATTCGAAGCTTACAATTAATTGGCCAACCATGGGGGTGTTTAAATATATATATATATATATATATATATATATATATATATATATATGCTGAGCTGTTTGACCGCTGATCGACACGTGGTCCTGGTGAGCCCTGTCTCTGAAATAGGCTGTTTTCGCAAATGCCGCCCGTTAACGTCAACGTTGATGTGAAACGACAGCATTGAACGCAACACCCAGTTTGCTTGTATTTAGATGTCGCATTGCACAGAACGTTTACGACACATGACTTGCTAGATTGTTGCGCTACCTAAGACCTAGCCACGCGAGAGCTCAGTTAGATGTGGGTCTAACGCCCTGATGCAGCTGACTCGTCGGGCAGGTGCCAGACACCAGGAGCCGGTATCTGATTATGGCTGTACAGCTGCACGTCGTTGCTTTGTCAAGGCAACCTATAGCATGTGGAGGACTGCTCCGAACAGGTGCGGGCAAAGTTGTCGGTTGAACTGGGCCAAGCGGCAGTTGAAAGCAGCCATGCCAACAAACCGTTTGGACTAGCTGAAAACCATCTGGCCAAGGTATTTTCGATAAACTGACTGATTTCGTGGCTCAGCGCTAGTAGAGCAGACGAACGATAATGCAAGGCGCTCACGCCTAGTTCGCGCCCTGCGAAGGCGCTCACGCCCCCAACGAACTTCTTCCGCAAGTTTGCTGACGTATGACCAACCAACTTCGCCGCTTGTGACAGTGCGCGGAATCATGACATTTCGCCGAGCGCATTACATACGCTTGGCGGCACTTACAGCCCATGATGCTGAGCTGTTTCGCCTCTGCCTGACGCGTGGTCCTGGTGAGCACTGTCCCTGAAGTAAGGCTGTTTCTGCAAATGCCTCGCGCAATCGTGAACGGTATTGTGAAACAACGGTATTGAACGGAGCATTTAGTTTGCTCTTATTTAGATGTCGCATCGCGCCAGGCTCTTACGACTTATGGATTGCTAGATTCTATGTTACCTAAGACATAGCTGCATGAGAGCTCAGTTGTATATGGGTTTTAAACAGCATCATTTTATGTATATGGTTAGCGAGCATTTGTACTGAGATAGTTGTCAACATGGAAAGGGATAGTTGCTCAAATAAATGGAAGACAAAAACCCGACTCAAAGGTATTTTTT